GCGACCACGGCGGTGTCCTGGTTCCGCCTCCAGAGCAGCCCTGATCCAAATGCTGCTCAAATTTCCCAGTGACCCCAAATGGGGAGGGGGAGCTAGTTCCCCGGAAGACAGAAGCGAAAAGAACTGTCTGGGTTGAAGCCCGGGCTGAGCGCAGCAGGATGAAATGCAGCAGGGACAGGTTGCCTCAGGGTCAGGCAGTGTGACAGGGGAACCAACTCCCCGGGGATCTGGGGGGCTCTCCCATCAGTGCATCGGTGGGCAGTTCTTCACTTTTCCAGTGTTGAGCGAATGCAATCCCCGAGCAGTGATTACATGTAAAATCAAAAATATTTCTTGTTTACTAATGTCCTCCGGTATAATGCCTAATAAAAAAACTTCAGGTTTAAAAGCTAAGGAGTTTTGTAACATTTCCTCGAGCCATTAATGTATTTTAATCCAGTACTTTTTCACATTATCACAAGTCCACCACATACGATAAAAAGTACCCAATTTATGTTTACATTTCCAACATCCTTTTGACATATTTGGAAACAGCTAATCTGTTTGGAGACAGATACCATCCATAAAACATTTTATACAAGTTTTCTTTATACGAATTTGCTAATGTTACCTTGATATTTCTTTCCCACAGCTTTTGCCACTTTTCTAAATATTATATCCAAAATTGAACACAGGAACAACATTAATGTCAACAACGAACACCTGAAATTAAAGATTCCACTTCCTTGGCTGAGTCATCAGTTCAGAGGGAGGCTGAGGCCAAGAAATTCGAAGAAGATGGAGTCTCGGAAGGCCGCAAGGGGAGAACTAGAAAAGACCACAGAGCATCATGATGCATTGCTGGAGAGACGGCCAGGAGCACCCGCACGGTTGCATTCCCGATACCCACGTCTGGGAGGGAGTGCTGGGCAGAGAAGGAAACCAGCCGGGGGAAGAGGGGTGCCTCAGCAACAGGTGCTGGTGGGGAGCTGTGCGGACATCCTGGCCTGGCAGAGAGGCAAACCAGTTGGTCCCCGATTGACCCAGGCCAGGGCCTCCGCATGTGCCGGCCCCGGGGGTTGTCGCGGGTGGCCACCACCCATCTGTGAGAGGACGTGCGGCCGCCTCCCTGGGGCCAGGCCCCCTCGGCCTCTGAGCAGGGGCTGCCCTCCACACGGTGCCCCTCTGGGTCCCCCTGGCTTCCCCTCCAACATCCTCCTTGCGTACCTGTGTGCCCGACTCAGCTGTGTTCCTGCGCCCATGTGCAGCCAGCTCTTGGCTGTCTCGCTAGCTCAGGTCGAGTGGGAGACTCGGGACCCCCTGGACTGCGCTGGATTGCACCTCCCATCGTGCTGGCCATGGTGGAGAGGGAGCCCAAGTCCAAGAACGCCTCCAAGATGGCGCCTCATGCTGCTTCCCGGAACAAAATGGATCCTCCTGGGGAACCTGTCAGGGTCAAGCAGCAAACCAGAGAAGACGCCTGAGGCGCTGCAGCCGCTCCATCCTCCGGGTGGAGGAAGCCTCTGCTCCCGAGGAGCATCCAAACAGACGAGCTGCCATCTGTTTTGGAGGGCTACAGTCCTAGCTCAAACTGGCCCCCCACGGAGCTTCAGATGGGTGCCCTCTTTTGGGGAGAAAGGGGGAAGGGACCAGCACCTGCCATGGATGCAAGTGGCCCTGGGTTCACGTCTCTGACAAGGTCCCAGCCAGCCCGGCAGGGGGAGGAGCTCGGCGGCGGGGGTCTTGCTTCACCCCCCCCCCCCCCCCATAAACACGGAGCTTGGGCTTTCCCCTTCGCAGCCAAAACCCATCTCCATCGTAGGGGCAAATCCGGGCTCCCTCTGCCTGGAGACTGGTGACGCTGCACAAGGGAAAATCCTGATTGGTGCTTTTCTGCACCCCCTCCTGGGCTTTGCCGCCCCCCCCCCCCCGGCTCTGGCCAGTCCTCCGTTGCGCTTCCCCAAACGCCGACTCTGGCTCCTGCGTGAGGAAGCGAAACCCGAGCGCCCGGCTGCGTTCCCCCTGCTGCCAGCGGAGTGGAGCCTCTGGGCCCAGCGGTCCTGCCCTGCAGGGAGAAGGCTGGGAATGCAGGGATGGGGGGGGCATTTGTGGGAGACAAGCATGCCTGTGGGGCGGGGGGAGCAGGGGCAATTGCAAAGACCCCCGTACTCTTCCCCACCCTGAGTCCAGGGGGCCCCCTTCACCGCAGGCGGGCTCTGCACCTGCGCCAGAGCCAGTTAACTCCCTGCAAGTGGACATCTAGCACTTCAGGGAGGAGGCTGCCGCTCTGTGAAACGGGGACCTCAGAGGACGCAGGGCCCCTCTATTCCCGCCGGCCGTCTTGGCTTTTTCTCTTCCAGCTCAAGTCTGGAAAATGAAGGCTAATTGTGGAATTGCGGACATTGAACGTTTGAAGCCAGACCTCGGAGAGCCCGTTGCCAAATGCCGGTTTCCGGCAGGTGCAGCCCTCGGTCTGGCCAGGCAGGAATGCAGGGAATCCCCCTTTCCCATGGGAGAGGCAAGACATGGGAGCCGGTGGGCTCTGGGGTCTCCTGGCGTGCGTCCCCCCAGTCTGAGCCCCTCCCCTGCCACGGCACCCCACCCGACCCACGGAGGGACTCGGCCTCACGGAGCAGCGTGGCTGCCCTTTCCGTGTGCACCCAGCCCCAAGAGTTTGGCCTCCTTGGTGCACCACAGTCTGGATCCATCCCAGGAAGAC